TTGGTTCTATTTGAACATTCTTTGACACGATGCTTTTTCAAGCACTAAGTACGAATCCATAACTTTTTTAACTTTCTCCATTTCCATTAAAATATCTTTATTATTAGGCGAGCCTTGCAGTGCTTGTTTTAATTCTCTTAAGCCATAATCATACTCATTTAACCCCATATATGCTTGACTTTTACGAAATAATGCTTTACTATTGTTCTTATCCATTTGCAGAACCTGTGCAAAAGATCAATGTTAAGAAACAATACAGTTACATTCTGAATATTCTGCAAACCCTTACATCTGTACATAGCTTCAATGCTTCACGGTATTTCTTTTTCTTTAATTTAACAGCTGCTAGATTAAGTAGTATGACTATTTTAATATTTGTCATTAACTCATCAGAAGAATTTGATGTGTCCACAGTTTTAGTCATCCACTTGTAGTAACGTAATGCTTTTTTATATTTTCTACCTGCGTCTACATAATTTTTTTTTGAAAAGTAATAATTTCCCGAATCTTTTATTTTTTGAATAACCTCCATAACATACTTGTGCTGTAAATGTATGACCATTGTCAGAAAAGTTTTTTCTATATGATAAATTTTCTTTGAACATGATACTTGCATCAGATTCTTTCGATTTTATAGCATAATCCCAATCGTCTGGCCACGGTGAGAAAACATCCTCTGTACCATCATTCTCCTCTAAACCCCAATCTTGGCCTGGCTTTATTTCGCCGCAGTCAATTATACAGATTTTCTAAAATTGAAATGTATCCAAATTACTAAGATACTCTAAATTAAAAAAAAAAAGAAAAATTTAATTTCTTTACCTCAGTTGGTACATCCTTTATTGTAGCGACATGAGATACTTCGTGTACAACACCCATGCCTTTTACAACTTTTCCAAAAACTACATTGGTATTGTCTAAGTGTATACTAGGCGAAATTGTAATGATAAATTGAGAGCTATTGCTATTTGAAACACCTTTGTTTACCATACTTAACAATCCCGCAGAAGAATGGGAGAGCGTAAAATTCTCATCCTCAAATAGTTTTCCATATATGCTTTCTCCGCTTGTTCCATTGAAATTTATTATATCTCCACCTTGGATTATAAACTGTGGTAATACTAAGCACACAAATATTGTATCATGAAGTATATTATCTTTTATATTACCTTCATCAAATATTACTTCAATTTGTTATACCTTTATGGAATATTGATCCTTTGTAATGTAATTTCTTCCCATAAATTCCTGTACCTTTCTCTCCGGTGCACAGGGCACGGAAGTTTTCTGCTGTCCTTGGTACAACATCCTTATACAGCTCTATCACTATTCTTCCAACTACATTATAATAGTGTTTACATGACCAATAGTATTCAAGAAAATAAATTTCTTGTTAATAGTTATAAAAAGACAGTACAAGGTTTTGACAATAGATGAGTTCTACTGCTAAATGATTTTTAACCCTATGTTATGATTTACCTTTCTCGGATTCGATAGCTATATCCAAGAAAACAATTGGATTGTCTTTATTTGTAACAGCTTGATTCTGTAGTGAATCTTCCATCTTTTATTTAATACGTATATCCATCTATGAAATTGTTTTTGAAAATTGTTTGCCTGCTTAACTACTGTAGTGAATCATTAATGTGGTGCTGCCCTCTAATAAGTATGGAATAGTGTGTATTGTACTATGTGTATTCGAGTGACTTTACAAATCATTCATGCCTAACGTAACAATTTTAACACCGTCGAACACCAATTTTGCATTTCTTCTCAATACTATTTACGTATATTTAAATGTTTACAATGATATAAAAATGCTGCTGTTGAACTCGCAAAAGTCTACATCATTATACAATGTACGTTATACGCATGAAACATTCGTACAACTTTTCTGGTAGAAGCAAAAAAATTCTTAAAGCTAAAAATCTTAGATGCATTTTAAGTTGAAATACAAAAATAGTTTTTTTTAAATGTTTATCATCAATAATTGTATAAAGTAAAAAAGGAGAGAAGGTCCCACCGAGATTTGAACTCGGATCGCTGGATTCAGAGTCCAGAGTGCTAACCATTACACCATGGAACCTTTCAAGGAAATGTTCTACTGATTTAGTATTCAGAGTAAAAAATTTACAACACAAAATAATATAATAACATTGTATGAATCATTAACAACTTTATGCTTTCAACTTTTGATTATTTACTTGTAAAATTTCATAGTATGTACTTAAATTAATAATGGCAGGAATAATATATTAACACGGGTATAGATAAAAACGTAGGACATACTAATGTTTTTGTATTGTTGTAATAAGTATATAACAATGAAGATTTGATATTATAACATATAATGTATATCGCTTTGCATTACTTTCTTAAATACATTTATATGTGTTTGTACATATACACATATATACATACACATACATATATATATATAGATATATGTATATATTTTGTATGATT